AAAGTTTATAGCTTTTAGACGTTAAAGCAGCAGCAAAGATGCGAAAAATAAATTATGAGCCCCGTGAAAAAAAAAATTAAAAAAAATCCACACACTATCACTAAATATGAAACAGTGTTCCAACTTCATTTAAGCATTAGATAAGAGCATACTAAAGAGATAGAGCATGAAATNTTGTAGAACCCTCAGACCCTGAGTCTCTTGAGCACTTGTAACAGCTTCGATGCCAGTTGTCAATGGCATTTTTCCCTTGGATATTGTGTTGCCAACTTACCACAAACCAACCACCTCAAACTTTTTCTATGATTCAAAATAAGAGACACGTTAGAATGGACTCAGTCGGTCCTCATTATCATCATCATTTTTATTTTATTTTTTCATTTATTTATTTTTTTTGTCGATCGAACCTGATGTGGGTTGCCTACGTATCATGTGGGAATATGAATCAGATCGTGCGTAGTTCGGGAGGATCAGAAATAAGGTAAATAAACTAACTCTTTTTGGATTTTAATTTTTTTCTTTTTAATTTCCGAAAGAAAGACTTATAAAGAAGAAAGAAAATATTTTTGGAATTTGATTATTTTTTTCTAATTTTTTCCGATAGAAGGACTTCTATATAAGAAAGAAAAATATTTTTTGGCTTTTGATGTTTTTGTTTTTTTTTTTTGGATTTTTTTGGGAGAAAGACTTTCTAAAAAAAAAAGGTAGAAAATATTTTTTTTTTGGATTTTAATTTTATTTGTTTTCCTTTTCTAATGAAAGACTCCTACAAATAAAATATTTTTTTTGGTTTAAAATTATTTTTTAATCTTTTATTTGTTTGGGATTTTCTTTTAAAAAAAAGACTCCTAAAAGAAGGAATTAAAGGAAATATTTTTGGATTTTTAAAAATGGGGTCTCAAAGAAAGACTTTCTAAAGAAGGAAATAAAGGAAAATATTTTTAGATTTTTGAAAATTGGGGGCCGGAACCGATGAGGTTTGCCTACGTATCTCACTTCCGGTGAGAATCAGACCCGCGTAGTTCTGTCATTTTGATGCACAGAAAAATATGATTTGTTTTGAAATGATTCTCTCTTTGTTTTTGAAATTTCGACAGAGTAACGNACCGAACTCGAACCCGACTCAAGAAAATCGACCAAGCTCGAGTAGTTTCGGAGGTGGTTTGGGGTGTTTTTCGGCTAAGCTCGCCAGCAGGCGGCGAAGATGGAGAAGGGAGGTGGCTGCTGGTTTTTTTGGAAATGGGGAGGGTCTCCTCTGATATGTGTGTCTGTTTGGTGGTGTTGAAGAGTAGAGGAATTAGGTTTAATTTAGGGATTATAAAAGGGTTGTGGTTTAGGGAATGGGTAAATGGGCCGAGGGGAGGAGTGAGCTCAAGTTCGAAACTGGGCTTCACCAATAAATTGTTTTGGTCCAAATTCAATTCTTTCTCGTTGAACAAAAATAAAAATACTACCAAAATAATTTAATTAATCTTAGTTAATAAGAATAAACTATTTTTGTGTTTTTAAACTTATGTTTTAAAATAAAAATTAAAAGTTACTGGAAAATCCTATAAAAATAAAAAATAAGTAAATACTTTTGAAATACTACTTTTAAAAGTTGCGCGGGTCAAAAATTACGTGCTTACACTTATTAGCTATCCTTATTTTAGCATGAGCTATATAGTACTTTTAGATTATGTTAATTTTCGTTATGGCTTATTAATTAGCAATATTTGTTTTATGTAATTTTATTATTTTATCTTTGTTATTGAATATTTTAGTATAATGCTATGACTTATCTCATATTATTGTATTAGTTTCTTGAAAAATACATTATATAGTTGTATTTTAGTAGGACTTAAGAAATTTGGTGCACAAGTTACATATTTTATGCTATTAAGACTTTACCGGAAAAAACCCGAAAACCCGAAAAAGCCGACTTTGTTGGTTTGGTTTGGTTTATAAATTTAAAAACCCGACACCATTGGTTTGCTTTAATAATTAAAAAATCCGAACCAACCCGACCTATGTACACCCCTAACCTCTTTTTTTTCTTCCAATGGTGACGTCCGGATCAATTTGGACGCACCTCAACTATTCAACCACGCCAACTTCCTTCTTATGAGTTCTTACCTTCAAAGCAGCTATATTTACTCGAACCACCGACCCTGTCCCTCAAAAGTCATTACACATTTGCAGCAAGACTCGCCCTCGAATGTATTCATTTGGAGACTCTGCATTTGCCCAAGTTATCTGTAAAATTCTGCATCCTCAGGGGTTGACTCAGCAATTTTACAAATGGATGTTTCTAGGAGCATGTTCATAGTTAATGTATTCGATAATTCAGGAGCATAGTAATAAAGTGCAAAAACAGGTTAAATTCTAGAATAATAGTCACGTCCAATAGGAGAAAGCCCAGAAACCATAAGCTTCTCGCTTCATTAACTACTTGAAACCAAACACAAATGACAAAACATCTATAGCACCTATTCGATCTAATTTCCTGGCAAGTTACATATGTTCTTAGCCCGTAAGAGAAGGGACATCAAATGAACAAATAGCAATAAATTGGAAAATTTTATAGCCCCAACAGCAGGTCAATCAAAATTATACAAGATGCTTCCATACACAGGAGTGAATAATATGAATTGACAACAATTATTAAAAGAACAGGGCAGCTTTTCCTTCGTCTAATACCCAATAACTGTCGTAGACAAGGCTCTAGCGGCATACACCAACCTATGACACAATTTTGTAATGAATCTGATGTCACAAAATAGAATAATGATTGCTTACAGAAGAGAGGTACTTTAGATGTTGCAACACGTGAATAACGAAAAAATTACGTGTATGAGAGACAAACTATGTAGATTTTTACTGAGGAGAAAAAGACCTGCCAACAAGTAGCAAACCATCAATTGGCAGTTGTTTTAGACATGGCCTGCTTGACAGCCTCAGCATATGTCCTGTGTTGGTATGTGAGTGTGGATTCAAGCAAGTCCCATAGGGATGTCTTCGGGTTCCAACCTGGTCATCACACATTTAACAGTTAGATTATTCTTGACTTTTACAAGTATTAAATTGTCAGTGGGTGAAGAAACAGGTCAATACCAAGCTGCCTGTTGATTATGGTCATGTCTGGAATTCTCTTGTCACTGTCATCATACCCCTCGCCATAAAATTCTTTAGAACTTACATCAATGGTGGGTGTTTCAATAGAAGACTCACCACTCACCTTTGAGTAGACCTGGTATTATTCAGAGAAAAGAGCTGAGAAAAATCAGCATGATTTGGACAATATGCTGAATCAGATTTAGGACCAAAGCAGTTGCCACCACAAGAGGGTAGCGAAAAGACAAAATGAACATTTATTTCACCTGAGTCATCATTTCAGCCAGCTGCCTGACAGTAACTTCATTGTTCGGATTACCAACGTTAAAGATATGACCATTGGCCCTTGCAGGATTTTCCTGAGGATATATACTTGAATCAAGATAGATCTTAATGTATTTCAGTAAACAAAAGAAAGGGATAAGGAGGTCAAACTTACGATCATTAGAAGAACAGCTTCAATAGCATCTTTTATATAAATGAACGTTCTTTGTGATTCTCCCCCATCCACAAGTTTCAAAGGTTCACGTCTTAAAAGGTTCTGAGAATAGGAAACATGAGATGATGAAATCATAAGGGTCACAAGTGAACATCAGAGACAGGTTTAAGGCCAACCAAAAGGAAAGTATACATACATTACTAAAGCAAGCCAATACTCTTGGAACACCTTCACTAGGACCATCAATGCCAGGAATGAAATCCATCCTAGGACCAATCCAGTTAAAGGGCCTCACAATGGTGAACTCTAAGCCATTCTCAGCACCCTCAGCTGTAAATATAACACGTGAGATATATACGATAAGAGATTCAACTGTGAAACTGCCACATCAATGCATAATGTCACATACCATAGACCAGCCTCTCAATCAATTGCTTTGCACATGCATAGGACCACCTCTGCTTCTCAATTGGTCCAAAGATGCAAGGGGAGGCATCTTCCTTAAGCACATAGTAAGAAGGATCCTACAAAACGCCAAAGAGTTAGAACATTTCCACAACAAACAATGGAAAAGTAAATGGTAAATAATGACAATTCTCCATGATTCCACAGCTAAACACATTGTGGATTAAACAAAATTCATTGATTTCTAATCCAGTTTCCTACATTACCATTCAAATTACGAGGTAACCCATGTAACTTCAAACAACAAAATGCCCAAGACTACTTCAGTTACATAAAGTCAGACGTGCTACACTGGATAAAGTTGGCTGGCTTCATCCTGGTTATACTAGACTTCAACTCGAATTACCAAAGGAGAAGAGAGGAAGATGTAGAAACAACAGCAACAAGGCCATGTTTAGAACATTTTAGGATATCTACAGGTTGCCATCTAGATTGAAACATGTTTACCAGAAAAGAAAAATCACATAAAGTAAATTGAGATTATTTATATCTGACAACATTACTTACAATATTAAGACCAAATTCAGCATACACAAATATTTGATATTTAAAGAATATAACAAGAACTTCCATGATATGACACATGAAACGCAAAGAAAATAACAGATCAAGGTTTAGCATCAGTTTTGCATTAATAAACTGAAAATATAACACAGTGAAAGCAAACTCTCACCTGCCGCAATGGGCTGTCTTTTGGTAAAAAGGCACCTATGGTTTTCCCATATATTTCACAAGTTGAAAAGTGAATGAGACGCTTTCCATTTTCTGAGCAGTACTTAACCTGCATTAATCAATTCACATCTATCAACTTCAACTGAAAAAAAGTGAAATGTTTCCGACAATTGACAATCATCAAAATCAAAACTATCAATTTCATCTCCCAATAAAGTTAAAAATAGTCCAATATTCATACCACTGGCAAAGCATCGATGAAATTGCTGTAAATCGTATCAAGTGGACGAGTGTTGTAATCTGCTGGAGTACAGATTGCAGCAAGATTTATCGTCTACGTCACAATAAAAGCAAAAAAAGTCAGTTATAGTAAAACACTCGCACAGATCAACATTAAAATCCCAGGAAAAAAGTATCTGAAAATGTGCAGTTGCATAAATTAACCAATATCCACAGAAAATTAGACAAAGCTGTTAAATAAAATAAATCCAAATAATAATAACAAATGCATTCGGTAGAAAAAGAAGTGTTCTGCGGTAGAAATGTCTGTATATTCTCTCTACAATATCACGACAAATGATCAAACTCTGATCCAATCAGAAGTGGATTTGGGATATGAATGTTATGGGTTCGAATTCAAAATTCTACCACAAACTATTTGATTTACTGTGTTCGAAATCTATTATTTGTACTTATTTAGCGAAATGTAACTAAAGCACTACATCCGCCTCTTGATCCAATACTAGTCTCAATTCACAATATAGAGCCCAAAAAATGCGTAGTAAAATTGGAATTTCCAAAAACCTATAATAAGAATTTAAAGCTCGTCATAATGGCGCAATAAACAAAAAGAGAATGAGATCAACTCATAGAAATAACAAGCTGAAAAATGATAAGATTCCTCAAAATAACGCAAGATTCAGCATTTATTTTCATAAATGAACTTTCTACCAGTGGCAATTTCGCAATAACGATGAAAACCAGATCCTAGTGTTGACACTAAGGCACAATTCACCACGCGCAGATAAATATCAGAAAATGCGAGAAAATTACCAGATCTGCCATCTTGATGAGGCCTTCAAGGCGAGAATCATTCTTAATATTGATACGGTGGAACTGAATACGATCGGCCCAAGGGAGAGTTGCCGGTTCAAGCAAATGCTTAATTTTGTCACTGTAAACGTCGACGGCGAGTACCTTGTGAGGAGTTTCCGACATGAGTTTCTCGCATAAGTGGGACCCAATAAATCCACCGGCACCAATCATACATATTGTAATTGGCTTTATTGGATTACCGTCCAGATCTACTCTCCCTGCCATTTTTATAAAAACTTCAATTTCTCTCTCTATAATTTTTTGAAGTTATTCTTTGATTGTTCTTTCAGTTTCTCTCTCTGTATTGACGTGAATGGATATGGAGGATTGGGGGGAAATGAATGGGGTTTTTGACGGTGGAGAAGAAAGGTATATATTTAAAGCAAGAAAAAGGAGGGAGGAGAGCTTTCTCAGAGTCTCTGGCTGTGGCCCGACTGTATTTATTTTCTAAACAGTGTTATTTCTACGCTCGAGAACATCACGTTTACTTTACGCGCTACACGATTGGACAATGTAAAAGATACTATTTTGGGGGATAAGGCTGATTGGATTTTGCTCTCTGAATGATTATTATGGGACTGGTTAGTTAGTTGAAAAAGAGTAACTGTCTACCTCATACACTTAAAGGTGTAATCCCTCTTCGGACCATATAAATAGAAATATTTTATGTATCGAATTGTCAATTTAGAGTAACTCTCTACGTCATACACGTAAGGGTATAACCCTTCTTCCGACCCTATATAAATACGGAATATTTTATACATCAAACTATCCTTTTAGTTAAATAGATATACGAGTTTGAATTATAAATTATATATAATAAAAAATTCCATTTTCTTAAAATTTATACTACACTAAAAAGGAAGGAAAATGAAAAAATGAAAGTAGCAATTGAAGTTATGATCCTATGGAACAAAATGGTGTCTAGTTTTTAAAAGGGAAGTAACAATGAACTCATACCTTTCAGGAAAAAATAAATAATGAACTTATACCTCCCATTTCAGAACATTATCTAAAAAAATCAATTAAGACTAATTATTTTTAAGTTGTTCATTGAAGTTTTGTGACTGGACATTGACTCCTACTATCAAAATTTATAATATTTTAATCCACATAAGTAATGGAGAATAAATGAAAACTTTTGAAATATTCCTGTTATTTTAGAGCATTAGAACGAAATACATTCTCTTAGGTCGTGTCACTAAATGTTTTTAAATATTTTCAAAAACTTATAATTATATATAATTTCATATGTAGATTGTAATAATTAGTAACTAAGAATAAATAATAACTAAACCATTAAAACAAATTAAATTACATTAGTAATGTAAACCTTTTATGATGTCTATAACTTAAACACTAAGGGATCGTTTGGTAGGATGCAATAGGTAAAATAATACATGCATTAGCTTTGTGTATTAGTAATACTTTGTTTGGTACACTTTTTGAACCCCTTCATTAGTTATACATCATATTTGGTGTTATCCTATGCGTAACTAATGCATAAGAAATCATGGTATTAACAATGCAATGAGTTTTAATACATGCATTAACTTAGCCAAAGACAAAAATGTCCTTCAAAATTTATACTTAATTAAAATATGCTATTATATAATGCAAGTTTGAAATAATTCAAGAAAGTGAGAAATAAAATTATATCCCTAGTAAATAAATAAATGCTTAGCATATTTTATTTTTGATAAATAAATATTAAGTTTTATATTACGATATAGGTAGACAAATCAAATAATTTTTTTAAACCTTTTTCATATACAGACATTCCTCGATGTATGTTTCTTTTAAAGTGATAAAGTGATGGACTGGTTATGAGGGTATTTTGTAAACGAATAATTTTTTTAGAAATTGTGCAATGCTTTAATACATCAAACCAAACAATGAATAAAAAATATGTCAGCATAACTAATACCAGCATAACTAACGCAAGCATAACTAATATCAGCATTACTAATACATCATATTCATCATTATTCTTCTACACTCTACCAAACGACCCCTGACATCATTATTATAGATTTTGCTACGACAGAAAGTATTATTTTCTGTTGGCATTATTTTACACGTTATATAAAAAGCATTAATTGTTGCAAATCACTTTCTCTGTGCTGGCAATTCATGTTACACGTTATATATTACTAGGTAGTACTAATAGCATGATTGGCCAAGATTCTTCTAAGTTAAATTTTTTTTTTATTAAAGTTGAAATGCTTGGCCAATCTTTTAGAAGAAAAAAAAAATACTTTTGAGTATAAGCAGAAAAAAATAGTTTCTTCCTAGAAACATTTTTTTGAGAAACACTTTTGAGAAAAATACACATAGAAACACTTTTTAAAAGTTTGATCAAACACAAATTGATGCTTAGAGGTGCTTTTCAAATTAATCAGTCAAACACAAACTTTTTTTCACCAAAAATACTTTTAAAAAAAATTCTTTTGAAAAAAATACTACTTCTCAAAATAAATTAATTTTTTCAGCTTGTCCAAACAGGCTATAAATCAAGAATTTATTAAGTACTCCCTCCGTTCACTTTTACTTTACACGTTTTGACTTTTCAACGTCCTTAAGAAATAATAAATGAAGTGTATAATTTATCATGATACTCATATTAATTAATGTATATTTTATTATATTTGAGAAAATAATTTGAAATATGTAATAAATACGGTGAGTATAACATGAAAAAAATTATCTTTTTTAATATGCGTAAAACGAAAATTTAAAATAAAAATTTATTTTTAGTATAATACAAAGTAAAAATGAACGGACGAAGTACTAAACTACTACTGCCCTGTAATAGCAGTAGATCCGAGAAAGAGACTACTTCTTTGGTCACTGAGGAAGTTTTTAAGATAAAAAGAGCAGCTTAACGTGCTTCATTCTCCCACGCGCTCTTCTTTACCGTGCAATGCGAGTAGCTATCATTGCATGAGCTGTCCTTCAGCTCTTTCATGATCACGTGGCTCATATCTTAAAAATATACATCTATCAAATCATGGGCGGAGCCGGAGCTTTGGCCGAACCAAATAGATTTGATCCAAATTTATATTTATTTTTAAAATTTATTAAGTATATATAAATTATTAATTTAAAATTTAATAACTTAGAATAAATAAAATTTGAATCCATTAATTTCAATTTTTTGCTCCGTCTTTGTTCCACTCATCATATACACGCGCTTTTCACGATCTTAACTCCAAGTTTCTTTTTTCTTTTCCAACTGTTTTCATCTGTCTGTTTTGATTAGCTCATTTTTTAAAAGGAAAAGGAAAACAAACTATAGTGCCGTCAACAAGTAGAGAGGAGGAATACAAGAAAAACATCAAAACATGAAATGAATTTAGTACAGTCAATCTTTTTTATATCGGTCTTATTTTTTCGAATATTTTTTATTGTTGTAATGAAGTAATGTTAAAAATAATATATATTATAATATAATATAAAAATAAACCGCAACAAATCTCGATTTTTATAATAAAAGCATGAGAATAGTAAAAATATAACGCACATGCTCTGAAGAAGAAGAAGAAGAAAGAAAAGTACTGCTACAAAGTTTTGAGGTAAGAAGCACCGACACACATCACGCCGAAGTCTTCACCCAAAAAGTGCACGCCAAAAATGTACAAAAATAGTTAGTACAAGCAAGCTGGTGTTTCCCACTCTCACCATTGAGCGCGTCTTTCGCACGATTCACTACGCAAGGTATGATCCAAGCACCGACAACCCGGCGGGTCCTGTCCGGTGTGATTGTTGCCTATTAATCAGTTCACTACTAATAGTAAGAAACACATACTTAATGAAATTATTTCGATGACGAGGTAAATATACATTTTTCTTTTTTAAATTTTGAAGTTGTCTTTATTCGATAATGTTGGCATTAAACGTCTGGCCGAGAGCATTTCTCTTTTTAATGGACATACTCAACGCAAATTGTGATTAATCGAATAAGTTAAGTTCTTAATACCAATCAGTGTTTTAAAAGGCATTTCTCGGATTCGCTCGGGGCTCGCCCCTAGGCGAGGCACTTGCAAAACATCCTGGGGTTTATTTATGGGGTTTAGTTCTGTGAGGCTTACACCCCAAGCGCCCCACTGTGCGCCCTAAACACTCCTAACGCCCAACGCTCGGGGCTCGCCTAACAGTTCTAATACAAATCACGTGTCGAATTTCCTAATTAATATCGTTGACCTTCAAAATTCTTTAACAAATTAATGATAAAAGTTCTATTCATCGATAGAAATATGAAGATTGAGCATAACTCTAATAAGTTACTACCCATATGAAGGGGTACTTAAGTGTTTACACTTATTCCTTCATGTTGGGCCCGGTGGACCCGATCGTCCTGGATTTTTGCAAGAGGTATGAAGTGTGCCTCGGGAAAATACATCCGTCAATGTGGAGGATCGTGATCCTCCTCCGTTACTTCGTGAACAAGACCGAATCTTGTCGGTTCAAGATCGACCACTTGCTTCGATTATACAATCCCCGGATGTTCCAAGGGGGACTGATCAAGCTCACACGCCAGGCCAGCAAGACACCCCTTTCTCCAGTATCGACGAAGACTGAGACTGTGGCTGGCAGGGACGCTTCGTCTGAGTGAAGACCGAGGATTTGATCCCCCTAGAATACATGCTATTTCTTGAGAAATGGAATGTGTCTCGTAAGTGCAACTCCTTCATCAAAATTTCTTCTTCTTTTAACCGATATTCTCATTTATGTTTGTGACTGTGCAATTGTTGCCCAGGTTCCGAATGCAGTCCCCGGTCAAAGGAGTGGATCATGGGCATCTGTACTCAGATGTCCTACTTCGAGCGCACATGGCGCGGACTCTCAAAAGGGCGATGGGAAGCCCGTTCTCATGGTAAGGTCTCTTTACGATTAGCCAACATTACATCTCCGCTTTATATTATACTAATCCTTTTTCTTATTCATTGTAGGTTTGCCTAAGACCACCGAACTTTGGCCTTTGGATGGGGACGAAGATGTGCCCTCGCCCGTTGATCCCTCTGTTCCTGACACGGAGGGAAAAAAGATGAGGAAAAGAAAAACCCCGAGCTCCAAGGTGAAGAAACCGAAGAAGTGGGTGCTCCGTAAGCCCAGAAGGGGCTCCAGTTCCCGTGTGCATGCCTCCGACTCCCTCCTTCAGCTTAGGGACGATCCGGAGGATGAATTTGTCTTCGTAACTCATAGGGAGACCACTTATTCCGGGGATTGGGATGCATCCGAGGGGGAGAATCGCGAGACCAACCCCCCTCCAACTTAGAAAGCCGACGCGGATCCTCGGGGTGAAACTTCCCAGGATGACGGCTCTGTACCAAAGGAAGTCCCTGGTGTAATTGAGATCTTGGGGACACCCTCTTACACCGAGTC